GTGCATTAATTACTTAGCATCCTTAGATGTACACTAAAAATTATGTCAGTGTAACAACATAGCAATAGGACCCAAATTGAAAATTGTGTAAACGAAAGCATGCATGTATAAAACAGGAATTTATAAAGCTAAATTAATTCCAGGTCCTTGCCGGCGATAGCTTTACGTCGAATTAAGTCAACTTTTTAAAGGAGTATCCAGAAACCGTTAGATTTGACGCGCCTGTACAAGGAAACTTAATAATAAATAGTGAGCATTTGCTCAAGTCTGGGATACCATTCGGTAAATTTTTGGTTAAAATGCATTTTTAGAATCACCAAACAAAGAGCTTTTAGAAAATATACATAAAGGGAGAGCAGGGACAGGGATTGTCTGCGAAAAATTACAGACTCAGTCGACAGTGACAATTCTTGAAGCAACAAGATGGGGTAAATTGCTTAACTGTAACAATAAATAAAAGGTCTTGATTCAGTAAATAAATTATGTAATGATAATAAAGATTCAAAAACAGCGAGCAGACACGAATAATTAAACTTGAAGTCTTATATAGGATATAAGGAGTGAATGCAGGGATCCATTGATTGTGTATAAAATAAGGAGAATATGAAATTAACACTAGTTATAAACGGAAGGGATATAATGAGCAACCAAAAAGTCATAAATGCACAGCACAAACGGTATAAAAGTCAGTAAAACCCACATGGATCACCATCGGAGGTAGGTGTGGGAAAACGACGCTGAAAATAATAGCAATTTTAAATAGAAAATAAATTGCCACACTATAAAAATGTTTTAAATAATTTAAAAATTAATTGTAAGCAGTGTAAACACTATTTTTAAATCAAAACAATGTAAATAATTTAATTTTAATCATTGATTTTATTATAATAGTATTCATAACTTTTAATTGCTGTGCCACTTCCCTTTTTTTGCGGCACATTACTATGCCTAGGTCCTACAAGATTAGACGCAATCGCTTTCGCTGGAATAAGTGTGAGTTTGTCGCCGTTTCTTTTTATTTACATGAAAATATTGAAAATTGCTACATGATACTCCTTTCTCTCCGCCTTTTATTTGCTTTCACCCTACCACTGGCTATTTCATTTAGGCAACTTTGCTTTTAGTATATTTTCTATTGATTTACCCATTATTTCGTGACTTCTCTAGCTGATTTGTACGATGACGTGCGCTATGAAGCAGATAGTCTCCATAATTACGTTCCGAAAAGACATGACAGAGCAGGGAAGGCAAGGAATCCGCGAAGATCTAATCCTTCCAATGCTTTCGTAAAGCACGCTGTCCAAATGAACGTAAGTAGTACTGTTTACTTATAATTATTAGATACTCATTGTTTTCTTTTGAATGGATCTTTGTAGCCTCTGGTTAATCTACATGATCTTTGCAAATGAATGCGGGAATTGATTGTGTTAATATCTCTCGCTTGACTAATCTTAACGATATTCCATGACTGAAATTGCCTTCTTTTCCATATTGCCCTCTCACTTTTTATTTTAGTTGGTACAAAACAATGTTTCTCCACCTTCTCATTCCACCGGATTGATGCAGGGAGAAATTTGGGTTCGTGTTAGAATTGTATCAGCTGCTGGTTATTCTGTGGACTGGCTTCGCGAAGCGCTCAATAGTGCTTGCGGTACTCAGTTTAGGCTCTACAACATTATGACCGAGTGTAATAATCGTGTTGTTTTCATCAAGATGCGCCAACGACAGGTAAAGCCTTACTTCATGCCGTTTGCCTTTTTCATTACAGATAGGCTTTATTTCAATTACTTTACCTATTTCAGCTTCCTGAGTGCCGAAAGATGGTTCAATCTGTGAGAGATCCTATTGAGGGTAAACCCTTGGTGATTGACCTCACTGTCGTGCCTGAGCCTTCCGTACCCTCTCCAAATATCAATCAGGATGCAAATTCTGAAATAATAGATTCCTCGCTTCCAACTACTTGGCTCGAGGCTCTTCAACGCTGTTTTGTAGAACGCTTTCAAGCAACAAGTGCCTGCCTTGACCTATCTAGTCTGCATACGGATCCTACCCTTCTCAGTCAAGGTCTTTATCTGCCTCTTAACAAATCATCCGTCGCTGATGCCTTAGTCAATATTCTAAGACAGAATAATGCTAAAGTAAGTCCTCTTGTTTGTATGCAGATATTCTTACTTGGGTTTCTTCTATGCATTC